GCGGCCCGGGCCCCTTTCCCAAGTGGCGGCCCGGGCCTTTCCCAAGTGGTGGCCCGGGCCTTTCCCAAGTGGTGGCCCGGGCCTTTCCCAAGTGGTGGCCCGGGCCATTCCCAAGTGGCGGCCCGGGCCTTTCCCAAGGGGCGGCCGGGCCTTTCCCAAGTGGCGGCCCGGGCCTTTCCCAAGTGGTGGCCCGGGCCTTTCCCAAGTGGTGGCCCGGGCCTTTCCCAAGTGGCGGCCCGGGCCTTTCCCAAGTGGCGGCCCGGGCCTTTCCCAAGTGGTGGCCCGGGCCTTTCCCAAGTGGCAGCCCGGGCCTTTCCCAAGTGGTGGCCCGGGCCTTTCCCAAGTGGTAGCCCGGGCCTTTCCAAAGTGGCGGCCCCGGCCTTTTCCCCAAAGTGGCGGCCCGGGCCTTTCCAAGTGGTGGCCCGGGCCTTTCCAAGTGGCAGCCCGGGCCTTTCCCAAGTGGTGGCGGGCCTTTTCCCCAAGTGGCGGCCCGGGCCTTTCCCCCAAGTGGCGGCCCGGGCCTTTCCCAAGTGGCAGCCCGGGCCTTTCCCAAGTGGCGGCCCGGGCCTTTCCCAAGTGGCAGCCCGGGCCTTTCCCAAGTGGCAGCCCGGGCCTTTTCCCCAAGTGGTCCCCCGGGGCCCTTTTCCCCAAGTGGGCGGCCCGGGCCTTTCCCAAGTGGCGGCCGGGCCTTTCCCAAGTGGCAGCCCGGGCCCTTTCCAAGTGGCGGCCCGGGCCTTTCCCAAGTGGCGGCCCCGGGCCTTTCCCAAGTGGCACCCCGGGCCTTTCCCAAGTGGCGGGCCCGGGCCTTTCCCAAGTGGGGGCCCCGGGCCTTTCCCAAGTGGTGGCCGGGCCTTTCCCAAGTGGCGGCCCCGGGCCTTTCCCAAGTGGCGGCCGGGGCTTTCCCAAGTGGCGCCCGGGGCCCTTTTTCCCAAGTGGGGGCCCCGGGCCTTTCCCAAGTGGGGGCCCGGGCCTTTCCCAAGTGGCACCCCGGGCCTTTCCCAAGTGGCAGCCCGGGCCTTTCCCAAGTGGGGGCCCCGGGCCCTTTCCCAAGTGGTGGCCCGGGCCTTTCCCAAGTGGGGGCCCCGGGCCTTTCCCAAGTGGTGGCCGGGCCTTTCCCAAGTGGCAGCCCGGGCCCTTTTCCAGTGGCGGCCCGGGCCTTTCCCAAGGGGTGGCCCGGGCCTTTCCCAAGTGGTGGCCCGGGCCTTTCCCAAAGTGGCAGCCCGGGCCTTTCCCAAGTGGTGGCCGGGCCTTTCCCAAGTGGTGGCCCGGGCCTTTCCCAAGTGGCACCCCGGGGCCCTTTTCCCAAGTGGGGGCCCCGGGCCTTTCCCAAGTGGTGGCCCGGGCCTTTCCCAAGTGGTGGCCCGGGCCTTTCCCAAGGGTGGCCCGGGCCTTTCCAAGTGGCAGCCCGGGCCTTTCCCAAGTGGTGGCCCGGGCCTTTCCCAAGTGGTGGCCCGGGCCTTTCCCAATTTGGTGGGCCCCCGGCTTTCCCAAGTGGTGGCCGGGCCTTTCCCAAGTGGTCGGCCCGGGCCTTTCCAAGTGGTGGCCCGGGGCCCTTTTCCCAAGTGGTGGCCCGGGCCTTTCCCAAGTGGTGGCCCGGGCCTTTCCCAAGTGGCAGCCCGGGCCTTTCCCAAGTGGTGGCCGGGCCTTTCCCAAGTGGTGGCCGGGCCTTTCCAAGTGGGGGCCCCGGGCTTTCCCAAGTGGTGGCCCGGGCCTTTCCCAAGTGGCGGCCGGGCCTTTCCCAAGTGGTGGCCCGGGCCTTTTTCCAAAGTGGTGGCCCGGGCCTTTCCCAAGTGGTGGCCCGGGCCTTTCCCAAGTGGCGGCCCGGGCCTTTCCCAAGTGGTGGCCCGGGCCTTTCCCAAGTGGCGGCCCGGGCCTTTCCCAAGTGGTGGGCCCGGGCCTTTCCCAAGTGGTGGCCCGGGCCTTTCCCAAGTGGTGGCCCGGGCCTTTCCCAAGTGGCGGCCCGGGCCTTTCCCAAGTGGTGGCCCGGGCCTTTCCCAAGTGGTGGCCCGGGCCTTTCCCAAGTGGTGGCCCGGGCCTTTCCCAAGTGGCAGCCCGGGCCTTTCCCAAGTGGTGGCCCGGGCCTTTCCCAAGTGGTGGCCCGGGCCTTTCCCAAGTGGTCGGCCCGGGCCTTTCCCAAGTGGTGGCCCGGGCCTTTCCCAAGTGGTGGCCCGGGCCTTTCCCAAGTGGTGGCCCGGGCCTTTCCCAAGTGGTGGCCCGGGCCTTTCCCAAGTGGTGGCCCGGGCCTTTCCCAAGTGGCAGCCCGGGGCTTTCCCAAGTGGTGGCCCCGGGTTTCCCAAGTGGTGGCCCGGGCCTTTCCCAAGTGGTGGCCCCGGGGCCCTTTTCCCCAAGTGGTGGCCCGGGCCTTCCCAAAGGGTGGGGGGCCCGGGCCTTTTCCCAAGTGGTGGCCCGGGCCCTTTTCCCCAAAGTTGTGGCCCGTGCCTTTCCCAAGTGGCAGCCGGGCCTTTCCAATTTGGTGGCCCGGGCCTTTCCCAAGTGGTGGCCCGGGCCTTTCCCAAGTGGTGGCCCGGGCCTTTCCCAAGTGGCGGCCCGGGCCTTTCCCAAGTGGTGGCCCGGGCCTTTCCAAAGTGGTGGCCCGGGCCTTTCCCAAGTGGTGGCCCGGGCCTTTCCCAAGTGGCAGCCCGGGCCTTTCCCAAGTGGTGGCCCGGGCCTTTCCCAAGTGGCGGCCCGGGCCTTTCCCAAGTGGTGGCCCGGGCCTTTCCCAAGTGGCGGCCCGGGCCTTTCCCAAGTGGCAGCCCGGGCCTTTCCCAAGTGGTGGCCCGGGCCTTTCCCAAGTGGCGGCCCGGGCCTTTCCCAAGTGGTGGCCCGGGCCTTTCCAAAGTGGCGGCCCGGGCCTTTCCCAAGTGGTGGCCCGGGCCTTTCCCAAGTGGCGGCCCGGGCCTTTCCCAAGTGGTGGCCCGGGCCTTTCCCAAGTGGCGGCCCGGGCCTTTCCCAAGTGGTGGCCCGGGCCTTTCCCAAGTGGTGGCCCGGGCCTTTCCCAAGTGTTGGCCCGGGCCTTTCCCAAGTGGCAGCCCGGGCCTTTCCCAAGTGGTGGCCCGGGCCTTTCCCAAGTGGCGGCCCGGGCCTTTCCCAAGTGGTGGCCCGGGCCTTTCCCAAGTGGCGGCCCGGGCCTTTCCCAAGTGGTGGCCCGGGCCTTTCCCAAGTGGTGGCCGGGCCTTTCCAAGTGGTGGCCCGGGCCTTTCCCAAGTGGCAGCCCGGGCCTTTCGCAAGTGGTGGCCCGGGCCTTTCCCAAGTGGTGGCCCGGGCCTTTCCCAAGTGGTGGCCCGGGCCTTTCCCAAGTGGTGGCCCGGGCCTTTCCCAAGTGGTGGCCCGGGCCTTTCCCAAGTGGTGGCCGGGCCTTTCCCAAGTGGCAGCCGGGCCTTTCCCAAGTGGTGGCCCGGGCCCTTTCCAAGTGGGGGCCCCGGGGCCCTTTCCCAAGTGGTGGCCCGGGGCCCTTTTCCCAAGTGGCGGCCCGGGCCTTTCCCAAGTGGTGGCCCGGGCCTTTCCCAAGTGGTGGCCCGGGCCTTTCCCAAGTGGTGGCCCGGGCCTTTCCCAAGTGGCAGCCCGGGCCTTTCCCAAGTGGTGGCCCGGGCCTTTCCCAAGTGGTGGCCCGGGCCTTTCCCAAGTGGTGGGTCGGGCCTTTCCCAAGTGGTGGCCCGGGCCTTTCCCAAGTGGCGGCCCGGGCCTTTCCCAAGTGGTGGCCCGGGCCTTTCCCAAGTGGCGGCCCGGGCCTTTCCCAAGTGGCGGCCCGGGCCTTTCCCAAGTGGCAGCCCGGGCCTTTCCCAAATGGTGGCCCGGGCCTTTCCCAAGTGGTGGCCCGGGCCTTTCCCAAGTGGTGGCCCGGGCCTTTCCCAAGTGGTGGCCCGGGCCTTTCCCAAGGTGGTGGCCCGGGCCTTTCCAAGTGGCGGCCCGGGCCTTTCCCAAGTGGCGGCCCGGGCCTTTCCCAAGTGGTGGCCCGGGCCTTTCCCAAGTGGTGGCCCGGGCCTTTCCCAAGTGGTGGCCCGGCCTTGGCTCCCTCTTTCGGGAGTGTCTGAGACCTAAGTCTCCCATGGGAGGAGGCACAAGTACCTCCTCATCTTTGGGACCAACTGTCCCCAGGCCTAGCCACAAGCTAGGCCTCTCTGGTCTACCATCCCCGCCCCAAGGGGGCAAATGGGAATGACAATCTTATGAGCTAAAGGCTCGGGCTCAGGCACCTACCCTGCTCTAGAAGGGCTCAGGCACCTACCCTGCCCTAGAAGGGCTCAGGCACCTACCCTTCCCTAGAAGGGCTCAGGCACCTACCCTGCCCTAGAAGGGCTCAGGTACCTACCCTGCCCTAGAAGGGCTCAGGCACCTACCCTCCCCTAGAAGGGCTCAGGCACCTACCCTGCCCTAGAAGGGCTTAGGCACCTACCCTGCCCTAGAAGAGCTCAGGCACCTACCCTCCCCTAGAAGGGCTCAGGCACCTACCCTGCCCTAGAAGGGCTCAGGCACCTACCCTGCCCTAGAAGGGCTGGGCATGGTGTCGATGAATTATAAATGAATCCAGTTTGCATAACCCAAAAGCAATATTCATATTATATTCAAAACTAGTTTTAATTGTGTAATAATTGTTTATAATGAAAAATAACTAATATTTAAATGTAACTGATGTTTGTTTTTCATTATAGGCATATTTTCTTTCCTATACTAATTAAATTTTAGTCTTATTATGAGAGAAAATTATTCTTTGACAACGGAGAGAGACTACCCATGACTCTCAAATTTATGAACCAAAGCGAAGCTCTGTTGAACCCCTCTGGGTTTAAGGGCTTAGCTTTAATAATAATAATAATAATAATAATAATAATAATAATAATAATAATAATAATATTATTATTATTATTATTATTATTAATATTATTATTAACAATAATATTATGAGCATAAGAGTGGAATTCATACCCTGAAGAAGTGACAGCCCAAAACTCACTGGAAGAGTCTCTCACATACCCACAGGAAAGCAACTTTACTCTCAGTAGTTACCTGAAGACGTGCACTGGCTCCCACGACGAGCAGTCAGCCCCCAACAGAAGTTCTGCAGGAGCACCCTCGGCGGGCTGGTCAGATAGGTACCCTACGTCATCCAGTGTAGAATTGTCTGTCTCTCCACTGCCCCATCCATCGTCACTTGTCAAGTTCGCAATAGTGTTGTTGTCCCAGTCAGGTCCCAGACCACTGCCGCTCTCACCGACATAAGCACTCACTACTGGCCCGTGGGTGTGGTATTTCTTAGGAGAGACCAGAAACTGGGCCTGATCTTCAGAGGTTAGGAGCTGGGATTGGTCTTGTGGAGCCAGGAGCTTAGCTTGGCCATCGTGAGAGACTCTTCCATATACCAGCTCGACTTTCATCTCTCCCGGGCAGTTTCCGGTACCCAGGGCGAACTGCAGCTGTCGTGCTGTGGTTGTTCATACTGGTTTATATATGCTTGCTGCGTGTTTGATTTAACATATTTGTGGAACATAGGAATCCTAGGCATGAGATAACTAAATTTTATGTAAATAGTATCATTAAATGTCGAACCTTTGTAAAAATCGAAGTCCAGACATTTTTATTTATGAAAAACTTATTTGAATATTTAGAAAAGTGTAAAAATGATAATTATTAATCAACCAAGGTTGCCTAGAGAGCATCTTGGGATGTGTTAGTCTCCAAAAATTATGCTTTGACGGGAAATTATTATGATACAAATTAGTGAAATAGAATATGTAGACAGCCTCTTCTGTTCTAATATCTATTATCTAATACAAACTTCAAAGAAATTTAATTATCAATTAAAAAAATAATCGATAAAGTGAGTTTAAAGGTGGAATAACGTTACAGATTAAAGGTAGAAGTGTTAACTACTGACCCCTGGAGAGGTCCATGGCGTGTGTGTGTACTGCAGCGTCAGGGGTTGTGAAGGTCAAAGCTGACCCATGGATGATCTTGCCTGCACCACGACCCACAGATCCCCCACGCACCTCACTCCTGTCAGGGCAACATCATAGGTATCACCTCACTGTCACCACACAATGATCACACTAACACCAAGCTGTCAACGTAGTTACCACCACAGTATATAGCAAGTTAAAGGGTGTGACACTTGTGTAACATCTGGTCACATTCTTCAACTTCTCGGATTTCAAAACCATTTTCATTTTCTAGCAAGTTAGCTCACATGTTTTTAACCTACAGAACAAATTAAGAGGCGAGTGAGTTTCCCTGTCTCCTAATATCATATTTATTTTCCCGAATAATCTACCCTGTTCATAATTACTATCATATTTGCTTTGTCTGCTTTCCTAAGGTGAAGTCCAGGAGCTTTCCTTAATTCATGGTATAATTTAACAAAGATTTATTAAGTTATACCATGAATTAAGGAAAGATCCTGGACTTCACGTTACGAAAGGAGACAAAGCAAATGCAATAGTAATTATAGACAAGGTAGATTATAGGGGAAAAATATAATTTTATTAGAAAAATGGAGAAATGACGTACCCCTTAAATCCTTGTGGTGAGATTCATCCTGGACCTGAGCTCAAGAGAACATCAAGGGCAGAATGAATTACAACAACTGGACATGCTGAATGTTGAAGACAGAGTAAACTAACTAAAGCTAAATTACGTTAAAAATTGCTCACAACCAATGTCGTAATATTTTATTGCCAGTTTTGTTTAGGCTGGGAACCAATGCAATTACAGAACTAAAGGAAGGGAAAACAACTTTCGAGTTAGTGGTCAGGCTTCAAAGACATTTTTCTGTTCAGCAATAAAAGAGTGAAATAGACTGCCTGCACATGTCAAAGCCATGTTCAAGCCAGTTCAAGAAGAGAGCTAAAATGTACCTCTAAATAAGGCTACAGAAAAAGAGGAGAGTGATCTTACCTGTTTTTAACTTTTATATATAAATAATAATTATCAAAAGGATCCCAGTGGAAATAATCCACTGTCTGATTTTTTTGGATCATCCTAGGTTCTCTACACATATGCTGCTATGTACGATGATCAATGTAACTGTGTATACCTGAATTACTACTTACGAGCCTTTGTTATTAGAGGCAAGAAACATGGGAAACCCATTATATGCTGTTTTTGTTACATATTATTGTGACTTTTATTCTCCGTTTTACCTCATACAATAAGTCGCTATACTATGGCTAAAACACTTCAAAACTAACCCATAATTTTTTTCCCACTAGTTTTGTGACACTGTTCTCACCATTTCACCTGACATAATCGGTGTTTTTCTCTTTCAGTTAAGGACTGATAATAGTCCAGGAAGGACCGAAACGTCGCCTAAATCTTGCTCTCTGGGTTAGTTGTAAGACTTAGCTAATGTTGAAAAATCTTATTGATAGACTTACCAAATGTCATCCACAGACAATCGTCTCCAGTGGTAGCACACAGAGGACGACACAAGGACTTACCAGATGTCGTCGTTGAGTTTGTGGTCCTCAAAATCGTCTCTGAAGACATAACCATGTTGGTTGAGTCCTGTGAACCGCGACGACTGCTGAACCAGCTGACCCAAAGATCCATCTGCAGAAGAGGATAGCCTCGAGTTAAATACAGATTAGTTCACTCTAGAGGTCAGGTCACCGGGCTTCTTGATGTACTAACCTCTGACCTGCTCAATTAACTATCCAAATCAGTCAGGACAAATCAGTATTTCGGGCAGTTCAGTATTCCAGCTTGTCAGGTTATATTGAACGACGTAAGATGTTTGTCTAACACACAAACACACACACAGGCAGTATCCTTAAAACAGTGTTCCCAACATTTAGTGTTCTGGTTGCGGTCAAGGATATTGTTAATGGTCATTGTATGTGATGGAATCAGTGCACATACCTACGAGAGTCTAACAAGATTATCAGAGTATGAAAATTGTGATAAGATAAAAAAAATTACAATTTAAATTTGTTTGTGAGTTTTTTTTACTGGAATCCTGTGTACGGGGCAGCGGGGTTGGTAAGTGTTGTAGGCAGCAGTGTGGACACAAATCACAAAGAAAAAGTTACTAACAAGAGGTCAAGGTTGTGACCTTAATCAGAAAAACAGTGCAAATATCTGGTCAGTGATAGCCGTAGTGCAGTAATAAAGTTATTAATGAGTGATTTGGATAAGAAAAAGAAGATAAAACAAAGTAGAGAGACAAAGTCTCCAGCAGTTGATGTTGCCAGAAGTGAACTGTTAAAACAATTAATATCATACGGTCCAGGTTATGATCACTGTGGAAACTTATTCCACGAAACGTTTCATAGTACATTAGTTTTACGAGCCCTTAACATACATATACGTAGGCACACAAGTAGAAAATAACCGTAGGAATTATTAATACAGTTTTAGGACCTAAAATAGGTAGGATTAGGTTTAATACAGTAGAATTAAGAGCTAGCGATTCAAAATTAGAATGAAGTCAGTTAAGAAACACTGGCTAGTCAGCTGAAGCTCACATACCACCGAGAGAACACGTGATGTGTAGAACAGCCAGAGATCCGGCAATACACTCTTGGCTTGGGAACAGCGAGATCGAACGAGGCTTCCCAAAGTATTAAGATACTCGTCCCTATCTGGCACACCCACAGTGAGGCAAATACCTTCAGTTCCTAGCAGCATTAGTTGGTCGATATTTCTGGGGAAAAGTAGGTAGTTAATCTGTGGATGAGTGCAACCGGGCACTCAGAGATTGATTCCCGTTTTTCCGCCCGTCATCCCCTGAGTTCAAAACCAACTCCATACACACAAGTAGTTAAACAATATTTGTTGAAAATATTTTAGTCGAGAAAAATTGGAAACGGGTTTGTTCAAACATTTGTAATTTGAGTAAACTGAGGAGGTTCAACAAAATTCAACCACTACAAAGAAAAATTTTCCCCACAAAAATTCACAACAAACAATACAAAGGAAAAATTAATAAGTGGTGGGGGGAATTTTTACGACAAATGGAAAGACAAAAAATTTTTAATAAAATAATTTTGAAGAGCTTGTTAAGGAACATTATAAAAACAAAAGGGGGTTTTTAAAATTGATCCTTTTGGGACCGGGGAGTTTGGGGTAAGAGGAACACTTGACACAAATATCAAATATTTAAATTTTGTGGTGCGTTTTTAGGCTCACAAGCTGAGGGTTTTTGGGAGTTTAGTCCAGTGAATAAGAAAGGGAAAATTGAAATAAATATGGGAAAAAATAAAGTTCAATTGGGCAAATTAAATAAAGGGATAATTTTCAAAATGGCTGAGGTATATCGTTGGTTCTTTAAAAGGATCTCATGAACATAGTAAGTGTAATATAATTGTTTATGATAATTAAAAATAGGAGAAAAATAATCACGTGTCAGACGAGTGGAGCAGAAGCCTAGCATAACATAACCAGTGATTAATTTTCAAAACTGGCTGAGTGTACCTATCGTTGTTCTTAAAAGATCTCATGAACATCAGTAAGTGATATAATAATTGTTGATATGCAATTAATTAAAAAATAGAGTTAGTATATAATTAATTAGGAATAGAGTGAGAGTGAGAGATAATTCTAGTAAAACCTTCATAAGAGTTGTGTAACCTAGCAAACAAAGTGACCCTCCTTCTCAAAGACACACACACACACACACACGAGGCGGGGCCAGGAGCTGAGTCTCGACCCCTGCAACCCCAGTTAGGTGAGTACACGCACACACAAACACAAACATCACACTAGGTGAGTACACACACCAACCCCCACACACACACCCCACACCACACACACACAAAACACACAAACACACACACACACACACAAACACACAAAACACACACACAAACACACAAACACACAAACACAACCCCCAACACACAAACACACACACACACACACACACCCCACACACCACACACACACGCACACACACACACGCACACACCACGACAACACACTAACACAAAACACACTAACCCCACAACACTAACCACACCTAACACACACATACCACAAACACTAACACACACCTAACACACACACACTAACAACACACACTAACACACACACCAAACGCAAAAAACACACACACCCCCACGCACACACGCACACACACATACCACACACACACACACACACACACCACACCACACACTAACACCACACACTAACACACACTCTTCATAAAGGCTAAGGAAGGAAGGAGGAGAGACAACAAGAAATGACCGTGAAGTATGTGAAGAAACTCAACAAGAGATTCAAAGAAGTGTTCACAGAGGAGACAGAAGGGACTCCAGAAAGACGGAGAGGTGGGGCACACCAAGTGCTGGACCAAGTGCACACACCGAGGAAGAATGGAAGGGCTTCTGAGTGAGCTAGATACCTCAAAGGCATGGGCCAGATAAAAATTCCCCATGGGTATTGAGAGGGGAGCAGAGGCGCTATGTGTACCCCCAACAACAATATTCAATACATCTATCGAAACAGGGAGATTGCCTGAGGCATGGAAGACAGCAAATGTAGTCCCAATCTTTAAAAAAGGAGACAGACATGAAGCATTAAACTACAGACCAGTGTCACTGACATGTATAGTATGCAAATCATGGAGAAGATTATCGGAGAAGAGTGGTGGAACACCTAGAAAGGATGATTCATCAACAGCAGCTAACATGGTTTCAGGGACGGGAAATCCTGTGTCACAAACCTACTGGAGTTTTATGACATGGTGGACAGCAGTAAGACAAGAGAGAGAGGGGGTGGGTGGATTGCATTTTCTTGGACTGCAAGAAGGCGTTTGACACAGTTCCACACAAGAGATTGGTGCAAAAACTGGAGGACCAAGCAGGGATAACAGGGAAGGCACTACAATGGATCAGGAATACTTGTCAGGAAGACAGCAGCGAGTCATGGTACGTGGCGAGGTTGTCAGAGTGGGCAACCCGTGACCAGCGGGGTCCCGCAGGGGTCAGTCCCAGGACCATGCTGTTTCTGGTATTTGTAAAAGACATGACGGAAGGAATAGACTCTGAGGGGGTCCTGTTTGCAGATGGGCCGTGAAGTTGATGAGAAGAATACACTCGATCGAAGACCAGGCAGAAAATACAAAGGGATTGGACAGGCTGCAGACCTGGGCCAGCAATTGGCTCCCGGAGTTCAATCCCACCAAGTGCAAAGTCAGAAGATTGGGGAAGGGCAAAGAAGGCCGCAGGGCGGAGTGCAGTCTAGGGGGTCAGAGACTACAAACCTCACTCAAGGAAAAAGATCTTGGGGTGAGTATAAACACCAGGCACATCTCCTGAAGCGCACATCAACCAAATAACTGCTGCGCATATGGGCGCCTAGCAAACCTCAGAACAGCATTCCCACATCTTAATAAGGAATCATTCAGGACCCTGTACACCGTGTATGTTAGGCCCATATTGGAGTATGCGGCAACAGTTTTGGGAAACCCCCACCTAGCCAAGCACGTGAAGAAACTAGAGGGAAAGTGCAAAGGTTTTTCAAAAAAGACTAGTCCCAGAGCTAAGAGGTATGTCCTTTCGAGGAGGGTTAAGGGAAATCAAAACCCGACGACACTGGAGGACAGGAGAGATAGGGGGGACATGATAACGACATACAAAAAACTGAGAGGAATTGACAAGGTGGACAAAGACAGGATGTTCCAGAGATTGGACACAGTAACAAGGGGACACAGTTGGAAGCTGAAGACACAGATGGGAATCACAGGGATGTTAGGAAGTATTTCTTCAGCCACAGAGTAGTCAGTAAGTGGAATAGTTTGGGAAGCGATGTAGTGGAGGCAGGATCCATACATAGCTTTAAGCAGAGGTATGATAAAGCTCACGGCTCAGGGAGAGTGACCTAGTAGCGATCAGTGAAGAGGCGGGGCCAGGAGCTCGGACTCGACCCCCGCAACCTCAACTAGGTGAGTAACTAGGTGAGTACATACACACACACACACGCACACAGACACACACAAACACACACTAACAAACTTACTAACACACTCATGCCAACACAGACACACACACACAGAAGCATACACAATAAAACGCATCAACATTACATTAACACATTCACACACATAAACTTACACATACAGTCTAACACAGATACACACATAGACACCCACAGATTAATACACACATACACACCTCTAAACAAAGTTTAGAGACTTCAAAAGCTAAGAGCATCCTAACAGGATAAAACAAAAATGGGATGTCAAAAGGCAAGAGTACCGAGGATAGCTTGTCTGAGAAGGAAGAATGGCAGAAAGGTTGAAAGCAAAATGGAACAAGGATGGGAAAAGAGGCTAAATGAGCTTTGCAATACAGTGGTGGAGAAGATATCTGAAGAAAGCAAGAAGTGGCAGATATGAGTTGTAACTGCTGAGGCAAAGATACAGAGCCTGGCAGAAGAAATGGAAGTGCTGAAGCAGAATATAAAGACAAGGATCGAAAGGAGCAAGATGTTGAAAATGGGAACATTAGATAACAGTGATGGGACTTCTGCAATTCCCTTGAAGAAGTGATATAAGACCACTGAGGTGTCCAGGAGATGATTAGGGCAGCAACAAAGAAGATGCTTAAATATGAAATGGAAATTATTCAGGGGCTTCAGGACGCTGAAGACACATCCTATGATGTAGGAAGACACTGGGAGGAAAGAAGAGATTGAGAGCATCATTGCAATAACAGAAGAGAAGTACATGTTCCAGCTAATGTATTTTCACAGAACCAAGGGTATTTGAGGGGAAAATATTGCTCTGTCAAATTGACATTCAAGACAGAAGTGGTGCAGAACAAGACCTTACAATAGAAACCACTGTTAAAGAATTCCTGAGAATATCTGCAAGTGTACCATGACCGTGATAGAACATGAAAAGAACGGGAACAACTGAGAGTGAGGGTAAGAAGACACCAGTGAAGGAAAGAAAGACAGGGCAGCCATCGACAGACAAGAAAGCTCAGATTTGGGGGCAACACCAAACACAAATGCTCACAGAACCCTCTCAACCCCCACCACCTTATACCAACCACACATAACCAGAAACAAGCCTAACTCCACAGCATCCCCCCAGCAAAAACACTATTATCAAAATGTGATACCCAGATGTGCAACGTCAGGGTATCTTTATTGTAGACTGGATGGCAAAACACCTACAATAAAGATACCCAGATGTTGCATGTGCCTAATTTTCGTCTTGTCGGTATTGTATACCATTTATGTACAATACCACCATCACAGCAGCCTTCCATTATATCCTGCCTTGCTTTCCACACCCCCAGTGTGCACCAACCAATTCTACCACCCAGAATACAGAAGGTATAGTATACCAACACAGATGGAATAACAAATAAGAGTGAGGAGTTGCAAGAACGAATCATTGAGGCATACCCGGACATCATAGCACTCATGGAGACAAAGTTCATGGTGATAACAAATGTGATCAGTCCAAGTGGATATCAGAATCTGAGGAAAGAGAGAGGGAACAGAGGGAAGGAGTTGCACAGCTCATGAAAACCCAGTGGAGTTTTGAGGAGATGGGAGGAATGAACAGAGGGGAAGATGACCTCATAGTAGGAATACTTTAGACAGCAGCAAGAGACCAAGACAAGAGTACAGTGAGAGCAATGAAGGATTCACTAGTCGAAGTGGATAGAAGTGCCCACATGGGTAGGGCAAAGTTACTTATCATTGGGGATTTCAGTCACAAGGAAATTGACTGGGAAAACCTAGAGTCACATGTGGGACCAGAAACGTGGAGGTCTAAGATGCTGGAGACAGTATTGGAAAACTTCACGAGCCAACATGTTAGGCATACAACCAGAGAGACAGGAGAAGATTTACCAGCAGTTCAGACATAGGGGATATCACACACGAAAAGCCTCTTGGAGCTAGTGATCATATGGTCCTGAATTTTGAACACCTTGTAGAGTTAACATTGGAGAATGAAGCAACACAAGAAGGATGGAAGAAGACAAACTTCAAAAAAGAAGCTACACAGGTACGAAGCAATTTCTACATGGGGTGCAGTGGGACGAAGAACTAGAAGGTATGAGATTAAATGAAATGATGAAACAAGTAACCATAAGTGCAGGGAGGCAGAGGAGAAGTTCATATCAAGAGGTAACAGAAAAAAATGGAAAGACCAGAGTGAGCCCATGGTTTATCTCGAGGTGTAAAGAGGCCAAAGCCAAGTGTGCTAGAACATGAAAAAAAATGTGGAAGGCAAAGTACTCAAAACAAAGAGCTGAGCTCGACTGCTAGCGCACTCAGCACACACTCCGAAGTCGAGGCGTTGATCCCGGTACGGGTGGAAACATTAAGAAGTGTTTCCTTGAGGTAACTGCTGGCCATGTTCACCTATCAGTAAAGTAGATACCTGGGTGTCAGTCGACTGGTGTGGGTCGCATCCTGGGGACAAAATTGACATAATTTGTCCAAAATGCTCTGCATAGCCTGTATACCTTGTACATGTACTTGTACAAACAAAAATTGTTATCATTATTATTATTATTATTATTAATATTATTATTATTATAAGAGCCAGAAACATATATGAATGGATAAGGAGAGAGACCCAGCGGCAGTATGAGAACGACTTAGCATCAAAAGCCAACTCTGAACCAAAGTTGTTATACAGTCACATCAAAAGGAAAACAACAGTCAAGGACCAGGTAGTCAGACTGAGGAAGGAAGGCTCACAAAGAGGCAGTAGGGTGCACCAGCAAGTGCTGGACACATTATACAAAACCAAGTAAGGGGTGAAGAAACTGCTAGGTGAACTAGATACCTCGAAGGTGGTGGGCCTAGATAACTTCTCTCCATGGATCCTGAGAGAGGGAGTAGAGGAACTATGTATGTCACTAGCAGTAATCTTCAGTAAATCTATCAAAATAGGGCAACTGCCTGAGGTGTGGAAGACAGCAAATGTAGTCGGCTTTTTTTAGGAAAGGATGCAGACAGGCAGCATTAAACCACAGACGAGTGTCACTTATATGTACAGTATGTAAAGTCATGGTGAAGATTATCAGGTGAAGAGTGGTGGAGCACATAGACAGGATTGGGCTTATGTATGGAAATCAGCACGGATTCAGGGATGGGAAATCCTGTGTCACAATTCTCCTTGAGTTGTACGGTAAGGTAACAGAAGTAAGACAGGAGAGAGCGGTAAGGGTAGATTACATCTTTTTGGATTGTAAGAAGGCTTTCGGCAGTACCACACAGGAGACTGGTTCAGAAGCTAGAGCAGCAGGTAGGAATAGTAGGGAAAGCAGTGCAATGGATCAGAGAATACCTGACAGGAAGGAAACAAGGAATGTTGGTACGTAATGAAGTGTCAGACAGGGCGCATAGGTCGATTGGAGTTCCACAAGGGTCAGTCCTGGGTCCGGTGCTGCTTCTGATATATGTTAATGACATAACGGTAGGGATAGATGCAGGGGTGTCCGTGTTTGCAGACGGTGTGAATCTAATACGGAGAATTCAAACGGACGATGATCAGATAGGACTACTAAGGAATCTGGACAGGTTGCAATCTTGATCTGACAAATGGCTCCTGGTAATTAATCCCGCCAAGTACAAAATCACGAAGCTTGAGGAAGGATAAAGAAGACCTCAGATGGAGTACATGTTCAGGGGTCGAAAACTACAAGTCTAATTGAAGGAAAAGGATCTTAGGGTGAGTATCATACCGAACACATCTCCTGAAGCACTTATCAGCCAAATACCTACTGTTGCGTATGGTCGCCTGGGAAACTAAGAATAGCTCTTCCAAGTGTTTTGAAGCAAGTATTGCAATTTTGTAACATTCCAGAATAGGCCTACCTTATATGTTCATGCGCTTTAAATGCCGGAAATATACTTGGAGGTACCATACCTTCCCTTGCTTACCTTCCTTCTTCCCAGTTCCTCAGTCACTGTATGACCTATGTTATGTAATAACAGGTGTTGCATGAACGTTATGCTATAATGACAGGTGTTGTTTCTATGAACCATAATAACAGGCGTTGCATGAGCGATATACTATAATAGGTGTTGTATGAACGATATTCTATAATGACAGGTGTTCTATGAACCATGCACTATAATAACAGGTGTTGCATGAATTATACACTATAATAACAGGTGTTGCATGAATCATGCACTATAATAACAGGTGTTGCATGAGTCATGCACTATAATAACAGGTGTTGCATGAGTCATGCACTATAACAACAGGTGTTGCATGAATCATGCACTATAATAACAGGTGTTGCATGAATCATGCACTATAACAACACTACAACAAGAGCAGACGACTCACCTTTCTCGCAGACTTGCAAGACGTTAAGGTCCTTGAAGAGGATCTGGTTCCTCAGGGAACCCTGGGCCCTGACCACAAACATTTTATTATTCATTAAACCAAGACAATAATAAATATGATTTATAATTATGAAGTGTGGAAGTGAAGGTGAATAAAGACTAAGCGTAATAAATAAATGAACAATAAATAAGGAATAACAGAAAAAAGATAATGAGATTTTTATTAATATTTTAGCACATGTGAATAAAATACTCGAGAAGTGAAGAAAAAGTGTAAATGACTGACAATATAAATTGAGTTAAATTAATGTATAAGATATATAAATTACTTATATAAACAAACTAATGTACATGACTAATAAGTGATTAAGATAAAATATTCCAATTAATTATAAGAGAGGGAGGAAGGGAGTGATGAGAAAGACTAAGGGAAAGGAAGAGTGAATGATGAGGAGAGAGAGAGAGAGAGAGAATTAGGTTAAGGTTCCTAACTTTATTTACAAGCTAAGAGCTGTTTCCTACATCAGCACATCAAAGCCTTTTATTGTTATGAAACATACAAATAAATAACAGAAAGGCTCCAGCATCATGCTGTTGGTCATATAACAACAAAAAGGCTTAAAAATCAGCTGGTACATTTAACAAGTCTTAGCTTGTAAATAAAGTTAACAATATTAACCTAACCTTGTAAAATAATGTGTAAAAAAATGAGAGCGAGTGAGAGAGGTGATGAAAAAAGAAACACAAATGCAGTACAATGCTTTCATTTATTGACAACGTTTCGCTCAGTCGTAAAACCCAGCGAGTCCTTCCACCTGATGTGTTTGTGACGTGTCAATAAAAGGTGACTTTAAACTGCATTACTGTCTCTCTATTGTGTCAGTATAAAGGGTGAGATAGTGGAGGGGAGGGGGAGAGAGGGTGGTGGTAGTAGAGTGAGGGGTGGTGGTAGAGAAGGAGGGGGTTGATGGTAGAGAAGGAGGGGTGGTGGTGGTAGAGACGGAGGGGTGGCGGTAAGAGAGGGGTGGTGGTGGTAGAGAAGGGTGGTGGTAGAAGGTTGGGGGGTTGTAAAGAGGAAGGGGAGTGGTAGACAGGTAGGGGTGGTCGTATGGAGGGAGGGGGTGGTAGTAGAAACGGAGGGGTGGTGGAAGAGAGAGGGGAGGTGGTGAAAGAGAGCGAGGGGTGGTGGTAGAGAGCGAGGGGTGGTGGTAGAGACGGAGGGGTAGTTGCAGAGATGCAGGGTTGGTGGTAGAGAGGGAGGGGTGGTGGTAGAGAGGGAGGGGTGGTGGTAGAGAGCGAGGGTGGTGGTAGAGAGCGAGGGGTGGTGGTAGAGACGGAGGGGTAGTTGCAGAGATGCAGGGTTGGTGGTAGAGAGGGAAGGTTGGCGGTAGAGAGGGAAGAGTGGTGGTAGAGGGAGGGGGTGATGGTAGTGAGGGAAGGGTGGAAGTGGTAGAGAGGGAGAAGGTGGTGGTGTTAGAGGAGAGGGTGGTGGTGGCAGAGAGGGAGGGTTGGTGCTAGAGAAGGAGAGGTGGTGGTAGTAAGGGAGGGGCGGTGGTAGTGAGGGGAGGGGTGGGGGAAGAGAGGGAGAGGGTGGTGGTAGAGAAAGGTGGTGGTGGTAGAGAAAGGTGATGGTGGTAGAGAAAGGTGATGGTGGTAGAGAGGAACGGGCGGTGGTAGAGAGGGAGGGGTGGTGGTGGTATATAGGGAGGGGGTTGGTGGTAGAGAGGGAGAGATGGTGGTAGAGGGAGGAGTGGTGGTAGAGAGGGAGGGGTGGTTGCAGAGATGCAGGGGTGGTTGCAGAGATGCAGGGGTGGTGGTAGAGAGGGAGGGGTGGTGGTAGAGAGGGAGGGGTGGTGGTAGAGAGCGAGGGGTGGTGGTAGAGAGCGAGGGGTGGTGGTAGAGAGGGAGGGGTAGTTGCAGAGATGCAAGGTTGGTGGTAGAGAGGGAAGGTTGGTGGTAGAGGGAGGGGGTGATGGTAGTGAGGGAAGGGTGGAAGTGGTAGAGAGGGAGAAGGTGGTGGTGGCAGAGAGGGAGGGTTGGTGCTAGAGAAGGAGAGGTGGTGGTAGTAAGGGAGGGGCGGTGGTAGTGAGGGAGGGGTGGTGGAAGAGAGGGAGAGGGTGGTGGTGGTAGAGAAAGGTGGTGGTGGTAGAGAAAGGTGATGGTGGTAGAGAAAGGTGATGGTGGTTTGAGAGGAACGGGCGGTGGTAGAGAGGAAGGGGTGGTGGTATATAGGGAGGGGGGGGTGGTAGAGAGGGAGAGATGGTGGTCGAGAGGAGGATGGTGGTAGAGAGGGGGGGATTGGGAGGGGAGA